TCCAAAAGCTAGGGAATCAATGCATATATTTACTGAGATATGGAGTCTACAGTTTTTAACGCTGACTTCGAACGACGATGGCAAATACACTCAGTGCTTTTGCCATTGCCTTCAGAAAGGTGGCGATCAAATCAAATTTTTGTGTTCTGAGTGGATTTGAACCCTAAATCTTTGGCACAGAAAGCAGCTGCGCTACATTCTCATATCTACGCCACATTCGCCACAGTAATGTCAGTAATATTGCATATAATATATAAATGTGAACAAATGTATACCAGTATATTCTTACTTTTCTTTTGGATCAGAAATATAAGTTTCAATGAGCAAAGAGTACATCTCAGAATGAATATTTTCTATGGCAATTTGAAAGCCATAGAAACAACGTGCTTCGGGAATTTTCACTTCTTGGCTGAATTTCTCAATCAGATTCTCATTAACGATACCATCGGAAGCGGCAAAGAATGCTAAGACATGAGAGATAAAGCGTTTCTCATCGGAATTTAGTTTTTCATTCCAGTCCTTTTTGTCTTGCTGTAAAAAATTCAAGAATTCATTGTTAGGAATACATAATATTTATTAAAGTCTATTTTTATTTTTAAATTTTTTAGTTATTGAGCTATTCAATACGTTAAGTTTTCAAATTGTATATTTTTTTATTCTTGAAAGAAAAAAATGTTATAGTTTAAGAGCTTATACCTTGTGAAGGGATACTTCTTCTATGGTCCAAAAAGAGGCTACAGCCTTTTTATACATGTCCCAGATATCAGGATACTGAATAGGGAAAATTACAAAACGGTTTGGGCCTTCCTGGAGCAATGGCTCCAGTTTTGGATTGAAGTCCTCCTTTAGTTGTACCTTTCATAAAAATTAAGTTTATTATTATATTAGTATGGTTTTTATCTTGGCAAGCTACAAATGTATTATTTTTATTAAAGCCGTTTCGATATATACATAGACAATACTGAAAATCTATAAAATGTATCAAGAAACAAAATTGGTATATAAGCAAGATGTACCTACCCCATTTTTCAAACCGTGATCCTGAGATATAGTTGGAGAAATGCATGATTTTTTTGGTGATGTCTGCAAAAAAAAAATACTGTTGATTAAAATTGAAATGCAATACAATATAAATTTTTGTAAAAAAATATAATAAAGAAATAGTTATATGTCTTCACTACATTATTCTATACATATATAAATTATGTCATCATCAGGAAACATTATCACATTTTATGAATTACTTTATCAATTCAATTATTGTGAATGTAAATGTATTGTAAACCAATATGTTATAATTAAAAAAATTTTTTTTCCACAATTGAATGAAACACAAAAAAAATCTTGATATAGAAATAGGATTGCATAATTTCATGCAAAAAATAGAAAACACTTCTAATAAACAGATATTATTTTGATACAAAATATTCTTAATACAAAAACAGGTGACAAAATAAATAAAATTTTGGCAATATCTTATACTAAGAAATATTTCGAATTAAATTATTCAAATATGATCAGTTTATTTCGAGTTAGATATAGCGTGGATTTTAAACTGTGTAATTTGTAAAATAAACAAATCCAGATAAAAGTACGGACTTTTACCTGAACCAGAAAAAAATTTTAGAAGAATTTACTGAATTTATCCTAATTATACATAGATGTTCCTTTATACATAAATTAATATATTTCTTGTAACAAGTGAGAAGTGTTTAAGATTTCAAAAATATTCATAACCTAAAGAAATATCCAGAAAAAGCGGAAAAATTCTGCCAAGGTGAATAATGCAACGAATTTTTTACCTCTTCATTCATCTTAGGTTACTGACGACGATAACATCAAATATAAAATTGTAAATATACTTAATAATAAAACATTCTGATGAAAGACACTAGACATTCTAAACATGAGACACATATACAGCTACTCATATATATAGCTAATCTACGCACAAGTTAAATGCATTCGCCGTGTGTGACGTCGTGTCCCGACCAAGCGTTTTAACGCAATTATCATCGTATTACACTCCATCATTAGTTAATGATTTTTCATGCGTTTGCGAAATGCTTTCTTGTTTCCTATCGTGTTAATGAACGGTGGAGATTTACGTTTCGCGCAGACACGTGTCCGAAAACATAACCGCTGTTGGAAAGCAGAAAAGAGCCTATTCTATGTATGGCGGAGAAGGAAGAGAATTGCGATAGAATCATTTTTTTGAAATTACGATTCTATTTGCGGAAAATATAGGAGACATATCTAAAATATAAATACATTAATTTTTAATTCTCTGGACATTTTCTGAAAGAGAACCTATTACTTCAAATTAACCAATATTATTAAAAACGAGATTTTAAAAAAACAGGAGAAAGAAAACAGAAAGATTTTGAAGATATTTGTAGGAAGTTTTTTGCAGTACCGTTTATCCAGACATGGTAAACGCTAAAGTCACGTTGTCTTCTTCTTAACAACTAATTAAGAAAAGGATAATGTGTGACTTCAACGTTTACTATATCTGGATCCATGTTATTGCAAAAACTCCCTATTGTCGCAGATAAAATATTAAAAAAAAAAATAGATGCATGACTGTGAAATGAGATATATACATGATGTATGTATTCCACAATTCATTTTAATAATACATTGACCAATTATACATATCCTAATTATACATTTCTATATGTAAAATCATAATTCTCAGAAAATAATCCTATTGCTAATATATATATATTCGCCTGATATATATATATATATATATATATATATATATATACATACATAGAAAAAATTATGTAAAACCAACATTATTTTAATTGAAAATTTTGTTAATACATAATATTAATGATATAATATGTCATGCTCTTGTTTTAATTATTTGGTTCATTGACAGCTAGCTGTTATTAAATTAATAAGACTATTTTCAATTAAAATAATACTGCTGATATTTTTTTGTGCATTTTATATATATATATATAAAACTGATTGATATATGGGAGTGAACCTACTAATCTAAATAATTGCCATATGTAAATATCCATATATCAATTATTTTACTTCAATTATCCACCAGGAATTTCACTCATCTATCGCATGCTCGTTCTATTTCGAAGAAACGTAGCCGGTTTTTGCGTCTTAAACACAAAATATCACGTGTGCGTAAGAAGCAAAAAAGAGAATCCTACAACCGATGGATTTTTCAATTCATGCTGTTTGGTAATAATGACGATACGAAACTGTGGCAAAATTGGCAATAAAATGTTCGATCTGGAAAAATAGGGATAGAAAAATTGCTGTGCAATGGAAAGAGCTTCGATTCGAGGAAGGGACGAGGAAAAAGGAGACAAACTGACTTACGTGTAACGATACATCCTCTAGGTGCTTGCGAACGTTCTCTTTTGTGGATTCGTGCAATGCCATCGTTATCGAGATGTTCTCAGTTCACGATTTTAACTAGATTTTGATGCTCAGTAACGACGATGACGGCAATAGGCGAAGGAGACGACGTCTGATAACGATAACGAACGACACCAGGAACCGTTCTAAAGAACGGAGCAGGAAACACTGGCACCTTACGCGGGCAAAATTATCTCGACTGTGTCGCGATTGGCTTCCCGTGCCGACGTTTCGCGCCTAAACCGCCGTCCGCCAATCAGCTGATCGGGCTGTGCCGCCAAATTCAGCTGACTCTTACATTACCCATCCTTTTCCTTCTTCTAGTGTATTTTTCGGCCGAAAATATTTCCAGATGAATTTCTCGCGATCAGTCAGGATTGCATAAAATGGTTTGTCGAATAGAACCTTTCCCGCGACTCTCGACGACGTCGGTGGTTTCCCGCGCGTTTTAACGAGTACTGCGCGAGAGTATTGCGGATGAATCATAGGAGAAGGGAGACGATTCTTGTGATAGCTATAATATAACTTGAATGCAAGTTATGTAACTGTAAATTCATTTGAATAAATGTCACGACTTGGATGAGTTTTTCTTTTCTTAATGTTATATAGCTTCGTTCTTATATGTTTAGAATTTATTCTAGATCTATATAGTCTCGAGAGTTATATCGTACATGAAAATCTATAATATATGTAAGACCTTGTGCATAAATATTAAATATTACAAATAATATAAATATACAGTGTCCCAAAATAATCGCCAAATATTTCATGGGCAGGTAGAGCGGACTAAATTAAGTCGAAAAGTTCTTCACCATTTTGCAATTTCGCAATAATTAAAGAGATATTAATTACTAAAAATTGTCGAAAATTGATCTCCAATAATTTTTTATTCAAATGCTATTAACTTTACAAAAAAATTGCAAGAGGCAAAAATTGTTTATTTCTTTCTCATAAAATTCTAAGAATTTTTCAAAATTTTTTCAGAATTTTTTAATACCATATTTTTTCATGTTGATAAAAATAAGAAAATGTAATACTAGAAAGTTGATAAAAAATTCTGAAAAAATTTTTGAAGCTCTATGAGAAGAAAATAAACAATTTTTGTCTCTTGCAGTTTTTCTATAAAATTGATAGTATTTAAGTAAAAAATTATTGAAGACCAATTTTCGACAATTTTTACTAATTAATATCTTATTAACTATTGCGAAAATTGCAAAATGGTAGAGGACTTTTCAACTCAGTTTAATTCGCTCTACTTGCCTATGAAATATTTGGCGATTATTTTTTGACACTCTATATAATAACAGTAATATTATAAATATTAAAGAAATAAAAAAATTAGAAAAAATAGATTAAATATAACGCACATTAAATAGATATAACATATTTATATATTTTATCTTATTTACATTTGATCTCTATTTCTGATGTTTATTTTTCTTTATATTTAAAATTTATTCTTGTTCCAAATTCTTTCATGCGCAAAGCTCAATGCATACTACAGTATAAGCACTATTTTCCAAAAATAAGACTTTAGCTCATAACAATAAAATGAGATTAATGAAAAAGTATCTAAAACGTTTTCAACTACAAATATTTGTTAAAAACAATTACAAAAAGTGATTAATGTTGTCAGAAACTTTAAAAAAATTTTTTGTCCATACTCGGCAATTCTTTTGATGTAACCCATGGATGCGGTCGATTTGACGCTTGCAACGCTCATGTAATAATTTTATCCTTGATATTTCTCAAATGTTAAAGGACAAATAATGCTTGCAAACATTGAGTCAAATACATTGAGTCATAGATACTTTATAGATTACAGTATCACTTTCACAATGAGTACGTTCTGTAACTCATCGAAATGTTTCGAATATTTCCTGTTTTATCTATTTAAAAAAAAAACGAACTACAAGTAATATATAAAAATATGGATATGTTCGATAACTTATTTATCGAAACTATTGCATCTAATTAATCGATAAAAATTTAAATTGTTCATTGATTCTTATTAATATTATTATTAAATTAACGCTACATTGTAATTGTAATCTACTTTTCTGTTAAGTATAAAGAGTGAGACATCAGGTGATCATTGCAATAAACCATATTTATTTGAATAATAATAATTAGAATAATACAATAAAGAACGTTTTTAGCAGGCCAATTTCCCGGTGCTCATGAATGCTTTATGAATGTCTTCTTTACTTTAAAGGGATGCATTTCAAGATATACGCGCACCATTAAAATGTTTCCACAACAATCAATCAATATTAAAGAAATAACTATCTTTTCAATAAATGCGTATCTGCATCGTTAAAACAATTAAAAATATTGCAAATATACTGTATATAGATAAATCACGTTAAACTCTTAGGAACGATTAAAATTTCTTTTTCTTTTTTTCTTTTTTTTCATTCATGTAAACAGCATTGTTTAATTGTGTCGCTCTTGTCAGCCTAAAACAACGAAAATCCTATATCTATTTGCGTATAACTTGAGATTGCATTTGCACAATTCTGTTCAAGAGGAAAATGATTATTCATCTCAGATATTACGGCTCGGACCAGTGTTTCTTGTCATCCGTTGCGTTTGTGTGTGTATATATATATATGTTGGGTGTATGATACGTGTAATACGGTGTATGCGTATGCTTTAAATGGCATCAATATCGAAATCATCCTCGGAATCATTGTTGGCGGCAGCGACGGTCGTAGCGGCGGCAGGTTTCGGTGTAGCCGGCGGCTGCTGTTTCAGAGATTCCTGCTTGGCTCTATCATCGTATTCGATCTAAAATGGAAAATTTTTAATGTCAGATATATATTTTTATATCATAAAGTTGTAAAAAAATATAATACAAATAAAAATAGTTTATAAATAACGCAGAAGTTTTCAAAAAATTTTATAGGGCATTAGATTTAATGAGGATTGTTTTGAAGATTTCAAATCAAGCTATTTTAATTGACTTATTTAAAAAAAAAAAGACTTCTATTATTTAATTATAAATTAATAAAAGAATTGGACAAACTAATGAAAAAATTGAATTAAAGAATTAACGATTTTCTTAGAAGCACTTGTGAACAATGAGATTACCTCCACATCGTCGTCTTCTTCCTCGGATTCAGACTCCTCTTCCTCTGCAACTTTCAACCATGTTAAAAATGGTGCAGCTCGGTCATGAATTTCCTGCGACAGATCTTTTGAGACATATTTCTTGCTGACTTTGTTTGACCATTCATCAAATGCCTTCTCTTCTAGGATATCAGCGTCATAAAATAACTGTAATGCACACAAATATTTTAACTAATTAATAATTGGTGTGATAGCAGTGTTTAATACTTACGATATGTATCAATACTTTCTAATTGAATTCTCTAATAAAATTTCTTAAAATATTTCTTAATTCTAAAAAAATTTATTCTTTCACCACCTTGAGGATTCCGGGAACCTTCGGCATCAGTGCATCCTTATGCAGCGCGATCACTTGCTCGATTCCTCTGATCAAATATTTCTGTGCCTTAATGTCATCGTGAGTGAAGCGCAGCAGTAGCACCCGGTATTTCTTCGCCTGTGCGGCAATTCCCTGATCGAACAACAGCTCGGCAAGGATCAATGGTGCCTTGGTCTTAATCTCGAGACGCTCCGCCTCGGCTACGAGCTCCTTGTGATTGTTGTCAAGTTGGCCAGCATCGCGACGGCATTTGACCAGTTTGTAGAACATGTCCATGCGCTCTTTTTCGCTCTTATCAAGGTCATCACTGATGGTCATACCTTTAGCACCATCTGTTAGGTCTTGGAGACGAGCTCTAACTGCTTCCTCAGATACATCTACCGCCCATTTATCGTCATCTCCCTCGTCATTGATCGTTCTTTCTGGCGGTAGTTCCACCACGATGTCTCCAGAATTGTTGACGTCATTTTCTGGCGAACCAGATCGATCGTTGCCGTTAGTGGTGGCAGTAGTGGCGGGGGCTGTAGCCGCAGCGTCACCATTAGCGCGTTTCGAACGTTTGCCGCGTTTACCCTCTGTCAAAGAACTGCCCTGTACTGCTGGATTCAAGCTCGGCGGATTTTTCAAGATATACGTGTTCAACTTGTGATTGCTCTCAAGAAGGCCATGATGTCCACACGCCTTGCAACCCTGTGAAATCGTGCCCTTCTTTGAACTGACCATTAATTCGGTTTCCGGATTATCGCAGGCCGGGCAAAGAACATATTTTCGAATGAAACCATCCAGCAGATCTTGTAACTTTGTCGCATCGTGTGAGCCGTTGACGATGAAGCGTTCGTTCTTGAAGTCGAACTGTGTCTGAGCGCCCAACTCACAACCGAAATACTTAGTCGGATATGTAGCCGGACGACCGATCGCCTTCGCGACATCCACCATGTTGACGATCACTGTCTTAATACCATTTCCTTTGCCTTCTACTTTTGCCTGGATCCGCGGCATCTTATAACGGTAAAAAGCATCGCTAACATTGCGATTGACGTTTACGCTCCCCATGGTGACCGATGTTTTCGCCTTCTCTTGCTCTTAACGAACTTTATTTCTCCGATCGACAATGATCTCTGATGAGACGTCGTTGTGAAAGTATTAATGAATCGAAACGAAAAAATCGCCTCTTAAGCAGCTCGTGAAGTGACGTCAAATCCGCTCTATTCAATCTTTCTTTCTTCTCTTTCTCAGGTGGGTAACGTCTTCGTCCTGGTTCTTCTAAATTCCCTCTGTCGCACGTTTCCAGCCAGCGGCAGTTTGGTAGCTGGCGGCGGCCAGTAGCAAGCGATGGTTGCTACCTGCTCGTGGTAGCTCGTAACAGCAGCGTGTCGAGTCAGGGTGGTTCTTCCTCTTCTCAGGATTGTAGTTCTTGTTAGCGGTAAGGCGTGCCGCGCCGCTACCCGCTGACGCCAGTCACGTTTCTCTGAATGGCTGTAGCTTCCGATGCCTATTACTGTAGAAAAAAAAGTCTTGCCTTTAATATCATAGTAACTCAAACTGTCCTTAATTTTAATTATTAAAAACAATTATTAGACATTTTCAAACAAGTTTATTTTAATAACTGTAATTCAACCTTTTTCAATATTTTTAAGCATTTCTTAGCATTCCAGATTTGAGCAGAAATTGCAGCGTATTTTTAAAGATAATATTATATTAATTTTCTCAACAGAATTTAAAATAAAAAAATTGACACTAACCAGATTGACTCACAAACCTGGAAAATTTTGAGGTCCTGTGCTTGGGCAGGACCAGGTGAAGATTTAGAAATCGTTGGGTGGTATCTTGATGCCTCGGGTGTTGCCTCGGTTTGGCGGTGGCGGGCGGGGTAGGGGGGTAGTCCTCAATGATCATACACGCTGCCTGTCCGTCGCTGGTCGCCTTAAGAAAGCCTGGCAATCTGTGGTACCAGGTTGGTAGTGATGTCGACGTTAACTCGCCGGTTAACTCGTCGCACGAAAACAAACGGTCGTGGGTAGTGATGGTGTTGCCGTTTGATGATCGCCAGTCGGATAATAATGTTCTACTATCGCCGCCGCCTTTGCTACACGCCGATCCTTTCCCTCTGGATGATATCCTGGATGTTTCTGGACGAAAAAGAACGAAACAATCTTGAAGATGTACTAATCAGTTTCTTCATTTTCGATTTTCGTTGGATTACAATTTCTGTATATAATTCTATTTTTTACATTTCTAATTCTAATTTTTTAAAATAAATTATCCTGCTAAAATAGAAATATTATTTTATACATTTGGGGTTCTAGATTTAAAGAAAATCAAAGGAAATTAGAATTTAGTAATTTTTTTAAATTCAAATTTGAGGAATTTAAAGAACTTAAGGAACTTATCATAAGTGTTTCTTGAAATTTATTTGAACATATAAAAGAAAATTTAATATTAATTTTTTAAAGGAAAAATATAATTTTTTAATTTGAAAAGTCTTTTTTATAGAGTTTGAAACTAAAACGTTTGTATTTGCTTAGAATATGTCTACCAAGTTTAATTATAACATAATAAATTATTTCTATTCTTATTATTTTTCCCTTTAACCTGAATCTTGTTGGGATCATTTCAATTGTAGGATTGCGGATGTATTCCGGATGCAAAGGAAGATAGGCAAATCTTGCGGGCTGCTCTTATCCATGCGAGTTAGTGGTCTGCTAAAAGCATTCACGAAAGATGCAAAACCATGAGGATGAAATTCAGAATAATTTTCAGACATGGACGATCATCGGATCGGTGTACGTATCATCTGGCTAGAATGCTAACGATCATCCGGATGATTTTCATGCGGGACAAACCGTATTAGGAACATGATAGCGATGATCGCTAAATCGGACTGAATGTCCTTGAAGTTGCGGAAACGAAAATTGCAACGAGCAGATTTAATCTCTTTCGATAATCGAACAAATGCAGCCATAATAAATGAACATTCGCTCGAAGTATGATTGCGCGGAAGTATACATATATAATAAATGAAGGGGTAAGCTAGATAGATAGCTATCTATGGGTAAGCTACTGTCATAAACATATGTTTGCGACGTAACTCGATTTCTTTAGACTTATTTAAATGTTATTCATTCGATCGTTTGATTCCGTTTGTTTTTTAAATGATGACATTTAATGCTACAATAAGATAATTAATTTTTCATAATAATAAAATATTCATAGGTGCTCTTCGTGAGATTAGAGAAAAGAATTTTTTTTTTATTCATGTATAATATATAATTACTTTTTTGAGATCGTTCAAAAGTTTGTATACAGATTTACACAAGGGATTTACATCGTTGTTACAAGTAATTAAATGAATATCCCTCTTGTAATATTGTAAAGAACAGTACTTCTCGAGGGACATCTCCTCGTCTATCGATTTAGTACCCGAGATATCTGAGAGTGCGATTTGCTCGTGTTTCAATCGTAGTAATGTAAATGGTGTGTAATTCTGCACCCGATTGCAGCCGGTGCCTGTTGTTTACAATAACTGTGCGTTATTAATATTGATTCTTACGCTCCATTTACCGTGCTATAAGCGGCGCATTCGTGGCTACTGTTAAGATACCTTAAGGCGAATCAAAGACGTAGCAATAACTCTTAAGACAGACTGAATTACACTTTAACAAAGGCATCAATGGACCGCGAGAATCAATTGGAATAATATTTCGAATGTTACCCTTGTAATTTAACAATAGGATTTTTTTCTTTCAGGAAACGAAACGTCTTAAATTTGAATCACGCATTGGAACCGTAGAACTTTTGCCTTCCCATTCCCTAGAGACGAAATGTAGCAATAATCTAATAGCAAATCTCGGTTAACTCATTCGCGAGGTGATAATTGCTCAGGGGAACTAATTCTCTCGTGGAAGGTCCGTGCACCGGAAACGGTTACCTGCTCGGTACAGACGCATAAGTCGTGATTTGCGACGGTGACGCGGCTGCTGTCGTTGATCACCAGATGTACCCAGACTTGTTCCTCTTCTCCAACAGCACCCTCGTGAGCAGAGAGATACGTTGAAAAAGGACGAGGCTCGAAGACAGAAAAAGAGAGAGAAAGAGTGGAAAAAGTAGAGCAGGTCTGTCGCGTCGCCGAGAGAGAATCGATTCTCGCGCAGGGGGTAGTTCGCGAGAAAGAGAGAGGAGAGAGAGAGCTCAGGAAGTCGGCCTCTCGCTAGCGCAACTAGAGTGCTTACTCGTCTCTTCGTAGTCTGACGGCTCTCGGGACCTCGGGTCGGCCTACCCCGCGGCGCGCACGCGTCCTTTAGCCGCTGTATATTGATCGAACGCCGACGACGCCGATCCGGATGCCGACGTCGCCTCTTCTAAGGAGAGAGCAGCCTTCGGGCAAGGTCACTCTACTCTACTCTCAAATGGTTATAACCCGGCCCGGAATCGAGAACTCTTATTTAATAAATTGTGGAATTAAGATCTGTGTGTGCGTGAAATTAAATTTTAATCCCGTTACATAATTTATATTAAATTAACGTTGAAATACAATTTCTTTGCAGTTGATTATGATTCTAGTCATGCGACCTGCAAATAGGAAAGACCTAAGAAGAAATTTTGTGAGATAGGTCGGGGTGAGTTGACCCAGGTTCAGAACGCATTATGGATTGAGCCATCTGGTTCTCTGTTTACCGTATTAATTATATATTAGATGTTTGATTAAATGAAGTAATAAACATGCTTCTCGGTATGGAAATCAGTGAATAATTAATATGACGAATTTAATCTTCCACCAGCTAAGTTGAACTTTGAAGGTAAAATTCTGAAATAAGTAAAACATAATCCGATTTTTACGATAGTAAAAACTCGTTAAAAGCTTTCACAAATGTAAATAAGAATTTTTCTAGATTTATACATAATCCAGAAAAATAAGAATCTAAACTGAAACTCGAAACTTATGTTGCTGACGGAAAATGGATAGTTCAACATGGTCGGTGGAGGATTAATAATCTCATTTTTAATGGTAATCTAACATTCTTTTGATATTTGAATATTTTTGTTATTTCTGTATTTCAATAACAGATTCTTTACATAATTTGTATAAAAATTTACTTAATACAAATTCCGTTTGAATTGACGAATTCTAAGACCAGCGTTTCAACATTTGCATTTACGTAGTTTTGCATTCAATGAATTTTAGCTACTATTTAAATTTCTCAAAAGGAAACTTACTACTTTTCATTACAAAAGATTTATTTGCTCGTTAAATATAAAGTTGGACAATGTATTATTTCTCGCGACCAGTTTTAACAACTAAACAAGTCTGTTTAGGAGTTCTTCGTTCAGAAGGATGTTCTTGATACACCATAATTATTGGCCGGGCGATCCTCGATAAATACTTTCCTTGGCGAAACTCGTTCTGGCACACTTGCCTCTGCTCGCGATTCGGATTCGGAGAAAGTGAGAGCATGGAACGCGTAACATTACTTCATCGCTATGACGAAGATACATATACGTACACGCATATTCTAATGTAATGATTCATATTCTGGAGAAAACAACTGGAAATTTCGATGCGTTCTTTCGAATTGCAAAAGCATTTATAAGGAATTCGATCGTGCAACTTGATAAAAATTATAAAAAAAATGAGCGAATTTGCTAGAATTTTTATAACTTCATTGATTAATAGTATTTTCTCACTTTTATAATTTTCATCAAGTTGCATAATGCACAATCAAACCCCAGAATCATTTCACCACTGAGATAAACTCTAGAGAAATGTCCTTCACCAAAGTTCTTGAAAATTCTACGATTCGCGAAGAGATAGTGTTTGAGAACCGCTGTCGCCTGATAAAGCGGTATTATTTTGCATCGTTATCGAAAACGCATACTTAAGGGTCAAAGTAGCAGACCATCTTGGCCAGATAAACGAAAAAAAAAAAACAACAAAAAAAACATTCATCAGTCACGTCCGGACAAAGGAAGAAGATTTAGAATTAATCCCGCCTGACGCAATTGTCTTCAAATACTTCTAGAATTTCAAAAACTGGACGCTTTCCAGCGTTCGCATTCTTGAAAAATATTGCATACAAAAATACAATTGTAGACATTACGTATATATTATATTATAAATTATTTCTCTACTATTTTTTGTATGTGATATTTTTAAAAAATAAGAATAAATAAAATAAATTAAATTAAATTAAAACGAAAATAAATAAAACGCTTGGCAAATGGGAAATATTCGACATTTTCTACTTATTGTTATTACGTAATTTTTTGTAATCTCGATGAATTTAATCCTAATTTTTGTATTTAATCTCGTCGAGTCAAGATTTTCTTATCTGTATACGATTCTTTATATTTTCTGTACGCATATAAGAAATATAAACGATACCTGATAACATGAATGCCTTTTTTCGAAGCAGACTTTTTAAAACTCAAAGAACCTTTGCAAATTCGACAAACTGACGACCGACACTGCGTGCACTTGAGGAAGTCTGTATTTGTCGATAGAGATGTATTTACAAACACGAGCCAGACGAGTTATTACCGATCGTGACGAGGTTGAACAATATGGGCTAGAAAATTGCACCGAAAGAATATATTATCTGCGATTTTTTTTATCGACGTATTTGTAGTACACATATCTACAGCTATATAATCTAATCGCAGCATATATTGCATGTCTCCGAACTAACATTGTTATCGGAAAATTGGACTGGAAATGTACTGGGGAAAATAAGCGAGATATTGTATGACAGCTAGATTGACTTTTACAAAATTGGATTTAATTTTTACGTCAATCTCTAATAAAAACTCAATAGAATTCGTTACAAAATCGGATTTACGGAAAACTTTTCGATTAGTCAGCATTGTTGTTATTGACGTTAATGCAGCAAACATATACCGTGACTAATTATACATGTATCGTACCATTAGCGTTGATAAATAAATAGCGAATTGCATTGAATTCTTGATTATTAGATGACGCAGCAATATGTAATTCGCATAATAATACAAACGTCATGCAAACATTTGTTGCTTGTTTCTTTTTTTTACAAGTCCAATATTTTTAATCAGATTGTAATATAAAATAAATATTTTCTTTCATTCAATATGATAAAATAATAAAAGCGCAAATAAATATACGAATATCGAAAGAAAACACATTCCGTTTTTCAACCATTATCTTTACGATTAAAATGGCAGTTAAAGCGAGAAGTCAATTCTGCCAGGTCATTTAATTATCTTTTAAAATGTGTATAATTTTCAAACTATTACTACGGGAGTTACAAAATGTATAACAAAATACGTAAAAAAAATATTAATAACAAACTGAAGGGACAAAATAAATTTAGTGGATTTTTCGAAAGTTTGTATAAGGATTAAACTTTTTAAATTATATCGTATGGGAATTCGATCAAAATATGAGTATTTAAAAAATACAGAATAATACATTCTATGAATCTGTCAATTTTACGTACAAATTTTAAATAAAGAACGATATTAGGTTCTTATATTATTTAATAAACTCCTGTCATTTCAATACCATGCTTAATGCTAAATAATTCATTTTTTCAATGCATTTTTTAGTTTGAAAAAATATGTAATACGACACAATTGTTTGTGTCGGAACAAATTCAGGACGCATTCCGTAATAATATAACTGGCTGTATACCATATTTAAAACGACTTTCCTTTGTATTTGATTACAAAATGTTAGAAATATCAATGCTGACAAATTGTACTTGTCGGATATTAGCAGTTCCTGCTCACGCGTGGAACAAATTGCTCGTTCTCTCGTTACAAAAGAGAGAAATAAATTCCTTATTGTGGCCACGGATACGCGTCAGAGTGGAGATGCGATAGGCTAGTTGGAGAAGTGCTCGCTAAAATAGATCCGCTTGTTTTCGCTGCACTTGCTACACACACTATGCT